CCATATGAACCGGATCCTTCCCTCCTTTTCTCGGACTGGGACCTGTTCATATACGTTCTTGGCAGATGATCCCGAAGTGGTTTGCCATTGCCTTCTTCTGTGTGTGAATGGAGTAATTGTTGGGATGCCACGGAGGAAAACTCCGTGTTGCCTAGACCACGGCCTTGCCCAACACAAGTAATAAATTCGGGCACCGCCGGGAATCGAACCCGAGACCCCAGGATTACAAAGCCAGCGTTCTAACCGCTAGACCACCGTGGCTATTGTTACACATTGCACATAAATAATAACACTGCAGGTCAGAGTTCAACATCGCAAGCGAAACTTGTCCCTGGAGCTCAACTAAGCACCACTCCATGCAGATGTATGAAGAAGTAAGAGTTATAACTCCACGCCCAGGTCGCTTTGCTCCCGGGGTATAGACCACCGGATAGGATCTGTAACAGAGATACCTGTCGGCGTGTTGTGGTACTAATTATGCATGCTTCTCTGTTTCGCAGTCGAATTTGAAACCAAAATGGGGAGGAAGACGAATAAGAGGAAGGAGATAGTAGAATGCGACGGAAATGTAGAAGACCCAAGAATTCTGGCATCAGAAATTTTTGGGTCTGTAGTTCATAAACTATTACAAAAATTAAAATTTTCAACCACGTAATCGGTTAGCGAACCTTTTAATGAAGGCATCTATTTTATAGCGTGAGGATCCCTTCCTGTTTACTGCAACACCGGCCCTGCTCTTTTAATGGGGTCGTCCATGGCACTAAACGGGCGTCATTGTCTCTGACACAGGACGTAGTTGCTTCAGCCGGTGTGTGGGCGTCACGAGGCGATAAAACCTCCCACGACACTTTTTCCTATTCCTTTCCAGCGCTTTGTGCAATAATACAAACCGAAGTTCCAAAACCTCTGGAAGACGTGGGCGTCAATGAACTCCACACCCCCAAAACCTATTTATGTATCAATCTTTCTAATATTATCCTGAATTTCCTTCTCAGTCTTCGAAGAAGACATTTTTCAAGACGCTTCGTCGCCAAAGTCTTGTAAGCACGTGACAATATCAATCTCTTCGGGCCCTAAACTTATTACAAAGACCACCATTTAAAACGCAATCGAAAACTAATTACGTATTTCAATTACGACATAAAAATTAGATCAGAAGGAGACCCACCCCCGTGACAATTGAGTCAAGGTCACCCTAGTTGCTAGGCCGAAAGGAACACACGAAGTGTGCATCGGCCCTAGGGCCTGGGCGGCACAAATCATAATCGCGTCTGGGCCAGGTTCAAATGATATCGATAATTTCGAGTTTTCTCGGGTCATTTTCTTCGAAGAGAAAGTTATCCATAGTCGCTCGTGAGTCGGACTAGAAAAACGACCCTTCCCAGAAACACAATTAATTAACTATTGTAAATTATATCGGGTTTCATTCGCTTTGAATGAAAAATGTCGGGCATAGGAGGGGCACGAGTGACGTATTTTAAGACGAACTTTGCTTTGGGTTCGGGTTGGATCGGGCCAAATGGTTCTCTCAGACCGGGTGAAATCCTCAAATTTCAGCCAGTGAAGACTTCTGCAGTGAGAATGTTGTTTATCATCGGCTTTATCTGAAACCAGTCTGTCTAGCGGTTAGAACGCTGGGCTTGTAATACTCGGGTCTCGGGTTCGATTCCCGGCGGTGCCCGAATTTATAACTTGTGTTGGGCAAGGCCGTGGTCTAGGCAACACGGAGTTTTCCTCCGTGGCATCCCAACAATTACTCCATTCACACACAGAAGAAGGCAAGGGCAAACCACTTCTGGATCATCTGCCAAAACGTATATGAACAGGTCCCAGGCCGAGAAAAGGAGGGAAGGATCCTGTTCATACGTACCTGTCGTCAGACAGAACACTAAATAAAAAAAATAATAAAATGTGACGTCACTGGATATTGATGTCCACCGAAAGAATCGGCCACGGCTTTATATTGGTGCAGTGCGTAAAGCTGATTGAGCAAGACGGTTCTAAATACGAGTACAGTCTCACTTGCTGGTAGTTGACTTGGTGTTTCGAATGTTCTTACGATCTGTGACGGGCGAAAATATGTCAGCATAAGGCAGCTTCTTGATAATTTTACGCCATTTATTTTGAAGCATCTGAACAACTTTACAAGAGTAGTTTTTGAAGACAAATGCAGACTGTCCACAAAATGAGAACTACCTGCCTTTTTTTCAAAATTCACCTGGAAGAATGTAACAAGATCGCCAAGCACATTCACTTTTCACCCTCGAAAATACACGAGGACGGATGTTTGTTGCACGACAATATTTAATTTCCTGTTGGGCCCAAATGGACTTTGCACACGGCTGTTGGTTTAACTGCTCCGTATTTGAACTTTGCTGTTCCCGACGTGAGTCCACACGCGTGCAACGTCTCTTCATTGCAGACACGAAGAACTGCAGAAAAGTTACTCAGGAAACCCTACGCACGCTTAGACAGAAAGATAATATTATTGTAGCGATGCGTGAACTGGAGTCACGTGGCTCAGGTTAGGGACCAGTAGCGTGTTCTTGTGAACACAGCGATGAACATTTTGGTTCCACAAAAGGCGGGCAATATTTTTGTCCAGCGCGTGTTCTTGTGAACACAGCGATGAACGTTTTGGTTCCACAAAAGGCGGGCAAAATTTTTGTCCAGATGAAGTATTATCGGCTTCCCAGAAGGACAGAGGGCTAGAAAAAATATCTAGTGCTGACAGGAATACAATTTATTCACAGATGTTTCCTTAATCTCTTCTCAGGAATTAGCGTCAAATGGTCCATAAATGTGTAACTTCATTTCGAATGAGGTCAACTTTACCTTGCAGCCTGCAACAGCATCAGTTGACGTTGGTGAGTGACCTTGGGAAACAAAGTGATTCAGGTAATCGTCGTCCTGGTCCATATTCAGTCACATAAGAAAGCAAACTCTTAAGATTCATTCCCTCTAGACGTTGTTGGATAGGTTGGATCGAGGGATGCTGAGTTCTCGACTCGTTCTTCAAATCGACTTCACATGGTGAGAGTCTGACGTCAGGCCGGAGCTCTTACCTTTGTTTACGCTGTAGATTTCAAACTGTTCTACCCGCAGCAAAATGATTTCAAGAGAAAGACGTGTTTCACCGAAAGGAATTCTGACATTCTGTGTCATCCGTCACAAACAGGCAACCTTCTGGTGATCGGATGCCATTGTCAGAGCAACTTCCTTCTGGCCTCCACGATGTCGCCACTGCGGCTGTGTCTCGAGCATGCGCATTTGGACGCGCGGATGGCAGTGCGCATACGACAAATGACATTTTCAGACTTTATCTTTCACAAGACAGAAACCGCATTCTTGTAGCTTGTACTGACTTCACAGTAAAACCTGTATAATGTGGTCATTCCCTCCAAGATACCCTGCTGACTGCATTAGATTCACACTCCAGCTATCCACTGCTGGCCGATATTCAAATTTGCAGAAAAGTAAAATATCGAAGATTTGCTGTTAACTGTTATTAAACACACAAAGAGTACACAAGGCTTCAATATCGCTTTATAAATCGCTCAACGTAGGCTTAGAACTGGTACGATAACAGAGCATTAAATTAGAAAAATCAAAGTTCTCATTTCATGCAATACAATTCAAAACAAGATCTCTTGTGTTTTCATTAATTTTTTCTAAGTCCTGCTCGAACAACTGGACTACAGCGAGGAAACTGACATTTCAGGTTCTCAGGGCGACGAGCATGAAGATGACACTTCTAGGATGCTGTTTCGTGTAGTCGCACAGAAAGTTTCAAGGGTGCTTAATGACTTCATCATCACCCTGGTTACGAATGCAGCAAGGACCTCCAGAAGACAACAACCTTAAATTCACAGAGTATTATTATTGAAAGGAAAGGAAGCTCCCTTCCAATTGTTATAATTAGTATAAAAAGAACTAACTATAAAACTCTTCTAAGACCCCTCAGAAGTCAAATCTCACAGTCTAATTGCAAAGCGTAATATCAAAAATATTCACGAATATTTACAAATGCATCAAAAATTACGCACATAACGCGTAAAAATAAAATTTTAATAAACTTGAGGATTTTATTTTATTAGCAGTCAATAATTCAAATTCTATCAGTAATAACATATTTTATTATAATATAATTAATGTACAGGAAATTCTGGTAAAAACGTAAGGTGTATATACTTTCCTTTCTTATTATACTACAAACGTTTAATGACGATTTATTGTTACGTAACTTTCATTAGCACAGAATGCAACTAAGTCAGATCTGTATCAAATTCCACACGTCGTGCTACAGAGCTAGACTACCTACGACTATTACTAAAATCAAAAGTTAGGTTAGGTTAGGTTGGGTTAGGTTATGTTACGTTAGGTTGGGTTGGGTTAGGTTAGGTTAAGTTAGGTTAGGTTGGGTTAGGTTAGCTTAGGATAGGTTAGGTTAGCTTAGGTTTCCGAAGACCCACTGTTAAAAACATACTTCTGGTATCAACTTTGACTGGTGCTGAGGTCTCACCTCCAAGTCCAGACGGTACACGTACCGATTTTTCTGACGTTTCGACATTTTAAAAGCTCAAAGCTCATATCAAACTCCATACAAATCCATTAATTTAATCAAAAGTTGTTATGGGAGACATTCTGATACCATAAACGTAATAACTTATAAAACCTAGAAAGAAACAAAAGATGAACATAATCCGTTATTTCCACAGCTTCTCATTTCTTAACTTATTAAAAAAATGACAAATGAAACTTTAACCTGATACAGCGACAGTTCACGTCCATCATTATAAGGGCACGTGCTACTTCGTGACCGAAAGTGTACAACACAATTTAAGAACGCGCCATCGCCTGAACTGATCACGACAACGCAGTGTAACGATATTACGTCATCACCACTCTTATTAATTTTATATTTATTTTGGATTTCATGAACCCTTGTTTCTCCTCAGGAATCCGCCTTCCAAGTTGCTTATGTGACTGGGGTCTCGGGTTCGATTCGCGGCGGTGCCCGAATTTATAACTTGTGTTGGGCAAGGCCGTGGTCTAGGCAACACGGAGTTTTCCTCCGTGGCATCCCAACAATTACTCCATTCACACACAGAAGAAGGCAATGCCAAACCACTTCTGGATCATCTGCCAAGAACGGATATGAACAGGTCCCAGTCCGAGAAAAAGATGGAAGGATCCTGTTCATATGGACCTGTCATCAGACAGAACACTAAATAATAATAAATAAA